TGTTACTTTAGAATAACTTCGTAAAAATCATTGGGTTTTACAACTACAAAACCTATTTACCAAACGAAATGTCTGACGATCCCGGTGTCTGATACGTAATAGTACCTATAAGAGGTTTTAAAGTGTCTATAAAAATTGGTTCATATGACTCTTAGGCAAGTGGAAAATAGGATGGCGTGGAAGTGACTCATTAGTTCCTCCACTAAGGTTTACTAGAACGATAATGAACAGACAAAGGACTACTAAAAATTGGCACAAATTGATTCAAGAATCAGATCAGATCTTCACGATCTTGAATCATAATTGACTTACGGTCTGTTCCTATCCTGTGTGAGTCGGTTATTGTTTAATAGTCCAGTCTAGTCTTGACCTGTTTACGTCTATTCTTGAGAACCTAACCTATTATGATACAAGGTGACAGTTCCGAGGGGAGCCGGTGAGGACAAGGCCACTTCAGAGAGTGGTTGCGTGACGTCCACGTTGGCCTTCACCTGTCCTTGAACGGACAAAAGATAGGGATATATGATAGTCCTTGATGGTCAATTTGTATCCCTTACATTGACTTTTGTATTCAGTTGTTTGACTACCGTTTAAATGCGGCATAATTATCTATTGAGATAGGTTAAACTGATGTTTCGAGTTGGCAACGTCCACGCCCGTTGATTGTAAAGAACTTTGAAAATAGAGAAACCTAATGATACTAGAGGTATAATTTTTACAAGTGCCTAGAATCCGTAGTCCTCTTGGTTAACAATCACATTTGTGACTTTGACCTTCCATGGCACAAATGTTTACCTAATCACGCTTTTCACATTTTAGGACATCAGTCGCGATTGTGGGGGCAAATATACTTTCAACGTGGGTGGGTCTGGTCTTCTGGTACTCCTTAAGTGGTCCAGATAAGGATACTACGGTATTCGCAGTGCTCGTCCAGGCATACCAACTCGGAGAAGACCCTGACACTGACTTAGCCTGGCCACTGACCATATTCCTCACTTTACTTCTATCAGGATTGATAACTATGGTGAGTTTTATGTCTAAAGGGGTTCAAGTAATATTAATATCACTTAACATAAACAATTTTCTCTCAAACATGAGATGCGATAACCCGCATTGATTGTCTGAATTAATGTTCTAGCCAGGTTTACCTTATCGCGGAGAACCTTACGGGTAACCGGGGCTCCGGCTCGACGTGCAGGAGAAGGAACGGGGTGGTTTTTAGTCAGTAAGAGTCTGACACTCCCTCCCGCCTCACCCAGGCGGGAGCAGTCATTTGATGATTTTCCCCCCTTAAAAAAAAGCCAGGTTTACCTTTAGCCATAATTTTCAGATTCCGTTAAGTTAGGTACTGAAAATGTTGAAATGGAAAACAGCATGAAACCACTAGAATATTTAACCCCGATATGAAGAGTTACCTAATGCTTTAAGAAATACGAAACATAATGAAACTTAAACTTGCACTTTTAACTACGATATGTGAAAGGTTAAAAGTCTAGCCTCCGTTAACACCATCAAACACCGCTATGGTTGCCGAAGATTGCTAGGAGTTTAATAGTAATGTTCATAAAATATGAATTCGTGGCTCCACAGACAGTCAACAGCACTCCTCCATCGGTCATGGTCAGAAGGCTGAAGCAGAATATCCAGTTTTTCCTATAAATACCTTTCTGGTAAATTTATTCTAAAAATCCGGTTCCGGTTTCAATCCGTGAAGACGTGTTATAGAAGTGTCGTGAATAATTCGAAGTAAAAAAAATAACGAAACGGCCGCAAAATACTCAAAACCACGTTTAACTACGTGCTGAACTTGAAGTGTTGGAAATTATCCAGATCATACCAAGATTTAACAGTGAATCGTCTTAAAAATCCAAATAACATTCGTTAAATTCGAGGTTATAAACGTCAAAACAATAAGAGCCGGTACGGTACTGGTAAGTTTTCATTCATTCATCAGCATCGCCAACCAAACAATAATAATAATAATAAAAAAATATATATATATATAAACTTTGAAACCGAGGCTTTTGGAAAAAGAAAACAAAAGTCTCGTTCCATTTCACGATGAGCACCGAATTGTCTAGAGAAATGGCATTGCTTTTAGAAAAAATGAAAGACGAATTACAAAAACAGACAATGGTCATAACAGAAAATATAACCACATTTGTTCTCAAACAAGTGGATAAGAAGCTTGAACCACTAAAAAAGGAGAACGAGACCTTAAAAATACAAGTAAAACAGTTAAACTTTAAAATTGAACACCTAGAAAATACCTGTAGAAAAAAATAATATTGTAATCCATGGAATTCCCGAACCAGCCAATGAAAGTGAGGAGGAATTGCGTTCCTTGGTCCTAAAATCCATTACCGATCTCGATGTAACTTTGGATAACGGCGAAATTAACAGTTTTCAGCGTCTCGGAAAAAATGTAAACAACAAGAAAATTAGACCTATTCTTGTCTCAACCACTACACTGCAAAAGAAAATACAGATACTAAGAAACAAAAAGAAAATGAAGCCAGGAACATATATCACACACGACTATTCCAAGAAGACTTTGGCCGAAAGAAGAGACAATAAAAGTAAGCAAAACGAAAAAAGGAAGAGAGAAGACTCGGAAACACCGAGTCCTAAGCCATTTCGTCAAACCAGCAACGAGGCCAAACTCAAAAAACTGGATGCATTCGAACTCATGCGAGGAAAATCAAACTCACTATCAGAAATATCTACACGCAAAAACTAATAACAACAACATGGCACCGGAAATCAAACCTATAAAAATAAACCAAAAACCCCTACAAAACAAAATAAATCTCCCACCACGGCTGGTCACCGAGGGAGATCAGGACCAATACCCTCTAGCAAAACCAAACGAACAGCTGTATATTGCAACATTGAATACCAGAACACTTAGAACCCCCGAATCTCTCATAGAACTAGAGTTAGCTCTCAAGAATATAAAGTGGGATATTATAGGCATAAGTGAAATGAGGAGAGCTCACGAAAGAATAGAAGAACGTAATGGATATATACTTTTCTCTAAAGGAGAGGCAGGAGGGCAACGAGGTGTCGGCTTTCTCATAAAGTCTTACCTAAAGAAACATATTACGGACTTGATAGGAGTGTCGGATAGAATAGCAATATTGAACATCAATATACCTTCTTATAAAAAGACTTGGTCCATTATCCAGGCCTACGCACCAACAGAAAAGGCAGATAAACTAGAACTTCAAGCTTTTTATGACAGACTGACAGATGCATTAATAACATTCTCAAACAACTACATCATATTAATGGGAGATTTCAACGCACAAGTCGGTAAAAAACAGAGTACTGACGAACGAATAATCGGAAACTTTGGACATGGGAAAAGAAGCACAAATGGCCAGATATTCGTGGATTTTCTTTTGGAACAAAATTTATATGTTTTAAACAGCCTATATAAAAAGAAAAATAACAACAAATGGACTTGGAGGTCTCCTGATGGCAACTACAAAAATGAAATAGACTACATTACTAGTAACAACCCTCAAACATTTACAGATACATCAGTCTTGCATAAATTCAACTTCAACACAGATCATTGCGTAGTCAGAAGCGCTCTAAGTTTAAAAAATCCAAAAATATCCAGAAAACATCTAAAAAACAAATTAAATCAGCAAGACTACAAAGAAATAACAAATACACTGGCATCAAATAAAGCTGCACTGACCAACGAAAACACAGAAATCAAAACCAACTACGATGAATTAGAAAAACAACTGACACCCACTAATGCTACAAATAAGAACAGAAAAGACAAATATGATTTAAGTGAGAAAACATTAAAATTGATTGCACAAAGAAAAAGTCTCTTGTCAGGGTCAGACAAAAAGAGCAACAGATTACAAGTAACAGAAATTAGTAAAAATATAAGAGAGAACATCAGGCAGGATCGCCGAAATAAACGACTACAAACTCTCGAAAAACAAATAGTTGAAACTGGAGGAGTGCGCAAAGCTTGGAAAGAATTAAGGGATGTTCATAAGGAATGGATACCAAAGGTAAAAAGCAGAAATAAAATTGTGACAAGAAGAGAAGACATAATAAAAACAGCAACACAATTTTACAAAAATTTATATGCAGACCATTGCCCCCCACAACAAATAAACAGCAAGGGCCAAACACAATTTGAACTTACAAAATCAGAGACAGAGCCAGAAATCTTACACAGTGAAGTAGACATGGCAATCAAGAGCCAAAAAATGGAAAAAGCGCCAGGCCCGGATAATATCTGCAATGAACTACTCAAAGCAACGTCGGAAGCACTAGTCCCAATACTATCAAAATTATTCAATAGAATGTTGAACGAACAGTATATACCAACACAGTGGGAAACTTCACACATCATATTACTGCACAAAAAAGGTTCAAGAGAGGACATAGGTAATTATAGGCCAATAAGTCTTATGTCCAACCTATATAAAGTATGCTCGAAAATCATATTAGAAAGAATAACACAAAAACTAGAAGATAACCAGCCGATAGAACAAGCCGGTTTTAGGAAAAAGTTCTCCACGATAGACCATATCCACACAGTGAAACAGATAATGCAGAAATATAATGAATACAATAAAACTCTATATATGGCTTTCATTGATTATAACAAGGCATTTGACAGCATAAGTCATGAATCGATATGGGAAAGCCTAACCAACCAAGGCATACCTGAGGTGTATATAAAGTTTATCAAGACTATATATACAAACACCAAAGCAAGAATACAGCTAGAAGAGACAGGGCCGAAATTTGAAGTGAGAAGAGGAGTAAGGCAAGGCGATCCTATGTCACCAAAGCTATTCACTGCAGTACTGGAAAATATATTCCGCAAACTAGATTGGACACACCTGGGCCTTAACATTGATGGCAAAAAACTAAACCACCTCAGATTTGCTGATGATATAATCCTGTTCGAGGAGGGTCCAGGCAATCTTGAAGTTATGATCCAAACTTTAAGCAAAGAAAGTGCCTCGGTTGGATTGACCATGAATACAACAAAAACAAAACTGCTAACAAACTCTAACGAAGTAACAATAATGGTCGATTCAAAACCACTCGAGTATGTAGACGAATACACATATCTGGGTCAAATAATATCAGCAAAAGACCAAACCAGCAAAGAGCTTAACTCGAGAATAGCCAGTGGCTGGAGGAAATATTGGTCGTTAAAAGAGATCATGAAATCGAGAGAGCTGGGAACTGCTATTAAAAGAAAAGTTTTTAACACCTGCATATTACCCTGCATAACATATGGATGTGAAACATGGGCCCTCACAAAACAACATAGAAACAAACTTCAGTACTGTCAAAGATCCATGGAAAGAAGTATGACAGGTATACATAGGGTAGAGCATGTAAGTAACGACCAACTAAGAGCAAAAACAAAGGTTATAGACATCTTAAAAAGAATTGACCAACAAAAATGGCGTTGGACCGGTCATATGATGAGAGAAAACAAGGAAAAATGGTGCAAGATAGTAACTGATTGGTATCCGAGAGACGGTAAACGCAGCAGAGGAAAGCAGTTAAAAAGATGGGAGGACGAACTAAGGCTAACAGCGGGACCTAACTGGAGAAGAGTGGCCCGCGACAGAATTCAATGGAGACAGCTAGAGGAGGCCTTTGCCAAAAGGCACACTGAATTAAGAGATATACTGTAACCTTTTTGTAACAACTCGTAATGTAAAAATTCAGAATAAAGGGCTTTATTATTATTATTATTATTATAAATACCTTAGCTAACAACAAATTATTTATCCTGTTACAGCTCTCTCTTCTATACCCCGTGTACGACCGATTTCGTCGCATTGGTGGGGTTAAATGGCGACTGCTTTCGTTTCTGGGGTCTGTGGTCAGTGCCTTCATCTGCCTCGCTGTACTGTGGGGTCGTCTGCCAGTCCTCAACCTGTTAGCTGATTATGCCGTGCCTCTCCTCATCAGCATCGCCACCGTGCTCGAGATATTGGCTTTCGTGTTCATATATGGTGCGTAAGTTTTAAAATTTTATCAATCCTGTAAGAAATGATGAGTTTTTGGCATTAATTATGAAAGGAAATCAGTTTTAATTTCCTTGGTAGATGATCTTTCTTTTATGGATTGAACAAGGTTAAGTATCTTTCGATATAACACTCGAGGAGGATATCGAGTGTTTTAAAAGCATTTGTTCTGTTGATATTCAATACCTATTTACTTGCACGTAAATTGATAACATATTGGACTATTATAATACAAATGGACCGATTAATGCCAGATGATCACACCAATATAGCATATAACCTTAGTTCAGCTTTACGTTAGGTGCATACGTAAGTGAGTTTACGAGTTGTACTTTACATACTAAACACATTTTACTAGAACTTTACCACAGATTAGTCAGTGAGATGAAAATCACAATCCACTTTATTAAATATTTTGTTATATAACCTACAAAATTAGTGTGACACATTTCAACATATCAAGCTCTGCTGTATCTAAATTTTCAGCCTCATATAAAACCGACGTGAAACAACATTTGTGTTGTGTTTTGTCTAAAGTGTATGAGGTTACCGGAGGAACAATTATCAATACACTGACCAGAGGCACAGTTGTGACATTCAAAGCAAAAATTGTACGACAACGTCCTCCGGTAAAGTGAACACTGACAATAAAAACCTTAATCTTCATTACAGGTTGGAAAGTCCTCGTGGAAGACGTGGAATTTTTAACAGGACGAGATTTACCAAGGGTTTGGGTGTTGGGCTGGTGCGCCGCACCTGGTATTATAGCACCGTTCTCCATTTGGTGGGTGACGATGTGCTTCATCAGAGAAAACTCCTGGTTCGAAGCTCCCTGGCCGGTCCTCACCATCATTTCGACTGCAGTCCTGGCATTACTCATATTCATCTTGTTTGCCACAGTGGCTATCGTGAAGCAGGTCCAATATGACTTTATTGGGGTAAGAAATACTTGAGTTATCATGGTTATACTGATGGTAGACCATAAGATTATGATCTGCATAATGCATTATAGGATTATGGTGCATTTGCGGCTACAAATACACCTATATCAACAGACATCTAACTATAGCAAATGAGGATCTTAAATAAAACGACTTAGTTAAATGAGTCCTCTTTTCTTCATATATAAACCACTTCCGTGCTCTCTCCAGATTATAATTTTATGCCGAAAGCGAAATTTTATCTTGTTTTATTAAATTTTTTTATGCTGCGCCAATGAATTGATGTTTACTGATAACTAATGTGCGGCCAATTAAGCGATTTTTAAATGATACTGCTGTCGATATGTTGCATTGCAAAGTTTTATTTGGTTTCTTGCGTCTTTTTCCACTTAGTGTCCATTATTTAACTACTATGTTGTCTAGCATCATTAAATGCTTTTATGTCGTGTTCAGAGATCTAATTTTATGAGCATCAAGTTTAGTCTAGTATATAGTATTTTGCTAAGTTATCATTAATACCAAACATAATAATGATGAATAGATTATCAGCACATGTAGAATTATTATTTTATCTATTCTTAGTACCCTCGGTTTTTCCAAACAGCGAAAGTTTTGTTTTGGCATATGTACAGGAGTGATGATATTTCATTAATACTAATATGTGTAATATAATGCGATAACACGTAGGTACCGGATTTTATATTAAAATAGACATCATTTTGTGTTATCAAGTTGCATTCAATCAATCATCAGATTCAACGAGTTCCTCATACAATCGTAGATAACACATTTAGTATGCACATGCGAATGTGTCGCCATTTCCCTAAGCAATGGCTAATATGCTTTTCCTATTGCCTTAATTTTAAGGTCACAGCCTTGTCTAGTGTGACACACGTAGAACTCATCGTTAAGTAGTTCCTGTCTTAGAGGAAATATTTATTCTTCCGCAGAAGTTGAAGTCATCGTTCAAGCCATCGCGCCACTGGGGACCGAGAGACCCGATCACCCACTACTACTGGCTGGCCCGGCGAGACGAGCTAGAGAGAGGAAACATTCACCGCAGGAGATACCAACGAAGGCAGTTAGGACAACTATCCGGGAGGCCAAGCTTCCTCAATTTGGCAAATTCTGTCGAAGATAAGACCGAGGCTTCAAGTAGCATTGAGAAAATGCGGTCAAACTCTGATGACTGGCTGTACACCGTCTGCAGGAAGCAGCAGTCGGCCTCAGCCAGTGGCAAGAAGAGGACTAAGTCTTTAGACTGGACTTTCCCCAACATGAAAGTATCTAGTACTACAAAATTGAAGACTTTGGATTGCAGTAGCTTTACAATGGAATCGTTTCAGTCTCAAGAAAGTAATTATAACGTATCCAATAAGCCGTCTTACAACGGCAGCCCACCACTTCATGATATTACAGATAGATTTCCTAATGACAAATCAATGGAAAAGTTTTGAAATCTTAGTTGCGATCATATTGTACTCTGACGTGAATGTTAATCAATCAGACACCCGCCTTTTATACCTGAATGAATGAATTTTATTATACAGGTACGTACTTTATAGTTTTGGACATTTGTAGATACATTCTATTGCTGTCAGTATTGTTATTAGCGAGTAAAATGAACAATGATTAAAGTATAGTTAATCTATCATTAGACAAGAAAACATATTTTTTCAAGGAAAGAAAATGCTCTAAAGTTATTTTTATAGTTATTTTATGAATAAAAATACGGAATATTTTGTTCTGATACACGTGACATTACGACCTCGCTGGGAAATGAGTGGCTTACTCATATATAGCTCCTTTGTTGGCGCACTGAGCCATTAGATATGTTCGTCACGATCGCTCGCTGTGAACTACACGTCGCAGGCGCAAAGTATTAACGTCCACTTGAGTCAGTAATGTCATTTGTATGACGATGGCCAGGTCCATAAACTATTGGTTTTAGTTCTTGCGCAGATTTTTATGCTATATCGAATCGTCAGTCAGATAATGAATTCATAGAACTTCAGTCTTCACACCACCACCACGTAGCAATGAGGGGTAAGCATTTAGTACACATGCCTATGTAAGTTATGAGGTATATGATAGGAGGTGAGCCTATTACCCACACACCCAGCACAATCCCAGATGCAATGCATTTATTATTAGAATCAAATCATTGTTTCTTCAAATAACAATCAGAAGTGAACTTACATAAACAAATACTAAGTAAAAGTTGCAATTCATCACTTAGTGGGTTAGAAAACCGTGCCAAACACTTGAGGTTGCTAATGAACCTATAAAACCTACGCAAGCTAATAAACCTCGTGCTAAGTAAAATATATAGTTGATTATTTTGACAGTGGGCGCAATGGCGAACAAGTATGTATTCATCATCATCATCATCAGCCTGTATTCGTCCACTGCTGGACATAGGCCTCTCCTATGGCACGCCACTGAGCTCGGTCTTCAGCTCTTCTCATCCAACCACTGCCAGCCACCTTGCAGATGTCGTCACTCCACCTAGCTGGAGGGCGCCCTACACTGCGTTTGCCCAGACGCGGTCTCCACTCTAGAACACGTTTACCCCAACGGTTATCGGTTCTTCGACAAATGTGACCGGCCCACTGCCACTTCAGCTTACTGATCCTTTGGGCTATGTCGATAACTTTAGTTCTCTGTCGGATCACTTCGTTTCGGATTCGATCCTTCAAAGAGACTCCGAGCATAGCCCTCTCCATAGCTCGCTGCGCGACCTTAAATTGGTGGACCAGTCGCACTGTCAGTGTCCACGTCTCGGCTCCGTATGTCATTACTGGAAGGACGCACTCGTTGAAGACTTTTGTCTTCAGGCTTTGCGGTATCTGAGACGAGAAGACTTGATTAAGTTTTTTATTAAGAAAAAAAAAACTTAATCAAGTATGTATTAATGATGGTAAATTGGAATTATGTCGCGGTCAATATTTTAATAAGTGCAAATTTCTGGGCACGGCAGAGTATGTGCGGTATACATTTGTCATCACCCATTCTGAAGAGAAGGGAAGCGTGTGAAGACGCGTTTCTCATGGGAGCTGACTAAGAGACTACATAATATAACAGATCCCGAGCAACAGTACTCTCTTATAAAACTAATTATCATTAACTGCTATTTCCAACCCACCAAGCTTGTAGGTTAGCTTGTAATCCACGGCCTCACAGAAAACCGACGTGAAACAGCTTGTGTTGTGTTTCGTCGTGTAAGTGAGGTTACCAGAGGATCCAATTACACCCTCCCCTATCCCCAGTCTCCCCAATCCTTAAATCCCCAACAATCCTTAAATTCCTCATCCCCAAAAGGCCGGTAACGCGGCGACGCCGATTGCTTACCATCAGGTGATTTGTCTGCTCACTTACCGACATATTCCATAAAAAAGGTTATCTCACGAATTTTTGGTGACGAGAATATTTCCAAGACTTTTTCTGACTAAGAAGAACTTGATTACGTGTTAATCGTAACGTACATATTAAATGAAAGTCGTTCTTAACCTGTTAAAAGCGGTTTAGTCATAATCCGCACGCTCTGTTTATTTGGTATTTGTCAATTAAAGGAAGTATTCCGATTGATAATGAGGAGTTGATGACGATAAAGGGATTAGCTTATTTCTCACAAAACATAATTATCTATTTCAAAAAAATGATAATCCTGTTTAAAGAGTTCAGTAGGGTAATAATCGTAGCGTAATCATTTGTCTGAAGATTAGTTAATCTACTAGAGTACATGATTGATGTATAACACCTAATATTTCTTTGTCAAGAGGTCGCAGTGATTTCCACAATCACTTCGATTATAAGCTTCGCGTGATAATTTACTGTGTATTGTAACTTAAACAGTTTTCTATCGCTCGTCTTGAGTGGCTCTAGTTTTCGACACCACTTTCCATTAGGTCATCTTTTATTCCATGGCTCTTATGAGTCCGATGACTTTAAGCTGACTACTGACGATATGGACGTTGTACGTACCTACTTGGTGGTGGTGATAGGCAGATATTTATCAATATTTCCACTTAATCTATCAATTTTGAATACTAATACCTGATATCTGATTTTGACCGGTTGTTGTCCTTGATTTCAAAGAATTTCCTTTATCTTTTCCTGACCGAAAATAAAAAAAATGTAAATAAAGATACGACGCGAAGTGGCTTTTAGAGATTTTACTGAAGAATGCATAAAACCAAAGAAATAGAGGTGAAAGGGAGAACGTAAACCCAATAGAAGGTAATCCTGAGCTGAGGTGAAAATTGTGGGAGAGCAAAGTTTGATGAATAGGCCGGCACGACCGGAGTGATACCACGGCCTCACAGAAAACCAGTGTGAAACAATGCTTGCATGTAAGTGAGGTTACCGGGGGTCCAACCCCTCCACCATCACTAATATCCAAATCTACAAACACCAACCTCTAAAAGGGTGGCAATGCACTTGATACTCCTCTGGTATTGCCCATGGGCGGTGATAGCTTACCATAAGGTATCAAATTTCCATTATGTTTGTTTACTTTTCATTCGTCATCGTTTCAGCTCAGGGTCATCATTCAACATTACCATTAATGTTAATGTAATTAATTGATTATATTATCCATATTATATTAATTGTAGTGTAATTTTTCTTTAATTTATATAAATTAAGTTAATTTATTCAAGGTAAATTTATGAGTTCTTGTAAAATTTGATTAGGGAATTTTTTTTTAGGTAATTTTGTTTGTTGATTGTCGTTGATGTAACTTTTTTTTAAAGAGAATTGGCGAAAGCAGTGCTGGTCTGTAAGCGATTGTAACATTTTTACTTATAATGGAATTGTCTGTTGTTTTATGTACTAATGTAAACAATTGTTGGTGGGCCAATAAAGATACGTAAAAGAAATAAAAGAAAAGAGCGTATTCCTTATTAAAAGACCGGCAACGCACCTGTGACTCCTCTGGTGTTGCTGATGGGCGGCGCTGATCGCTTACCATCAGGTGATCCGTCTGCTCGTTTGCTTATCCATAAAAAAGACGCTTTAAAAGTGCCTGTATGTGGATAAAATTATAATAAATGCTTTGAAAAGTAGGTAAACAGTGTAACTCGAACGAATGATGAATTAATAAAATCAATCGTCTAGCCTAAAATCAGTGACCGACCTAAAACATTTTGACATTCGACAGTAATCAGTCTTAGGCGATATATGAACGTTTCACGTATAAACAGTTAATCCAATATTTTTGTATGATTGATACACTACGCCCTCTTGGCTCTTTGTTAATCAATGTCCAGTAAATTTAACGGTACTTCTAGCGTAAGTATACCGCATTAACTGAGGTTTTTTTTTGTTTGTTTGTTTGAACGCGCTAATCCGTAACTACAAGTCTGATTTGAATAATTTCTTTTTGTGTTGGATAGTGAATTTATCGACGATGGCTGTAAGCTATAAAACATCATGCTACGACCAATAAGATCTGAAAAGAGCGTGTGAAACCGCGCGGAAGTGGGTAGTTCTACTTATACAGAAAAGAACGAACATATTTATAGACTGTCTCATTCAGCTAATATTTTTGTGGTTTTGATTCCGTTTCTAGAGCGTTAAACATCTTATTAGGAACGAGTCAGGAAAGAAGATTCTAGTATGATACATTTGTTAGTAACCCTACAAGTGACGTCACTCTGCTGGTGGAAGAGGAAATTCAGCGGATGGGCCCCCTGATCCCAAAAACAACGGGGACCCTTCCAGCTTCCAGCAGCAATAGGGGCCCGTGGCATTTAGCCGACATGTCGTCACCCGTAGTAACGCCACTGACCCATATTCCTTCTGCAAGTGTTGCAAGTGTCGGATCGGAGTGGATTATTTGACAGATACTGGGCAACAGCGCTCCAATTCGCCTGTCCAGCGTCGAGATTGTGGCATAACATTTTGTACATATATATAAAGGAGGTCCAGTAGACCAGCAGAGGATTGTTCTTTTATGGAATAAGGCAGCTATCGAGCATTAGTATCAGGTGATCCTGATGGTAAGCAATTAGTGCCGGCGCTACCCATCCGCAATACCAAAAGAGTTAGGCACATACATGTGCTTTAATCTTGTGCTTGTACTTTCTCCGCTCGTCTCACATTGTCTTCCATCGAGGATGCATAAGTATTTTTCTGTAGAAATGAAAAGACTCACATTTGTAAGTTTTTCGAAAATATTAACAACTAGCAGCCCGTCCCGGCTTCGCACGGGGTAGACAATTATTTATTTTTGGAAATTTGGGTTGTTGTAGTGGCATAACTACAATAGTTGGACACATGCTATCGCGCAGTTTTTTGTAGACATTATGATGTTCTTCAATATCGTTGTACATTATTTTGTTCTATCGCTAATAGTTTCGGCAGCGCATTCGACGAAAGACATTTTAAAACTCATTTTTCTACACCTTCGGTTACATTGTTCAAATTTTACCAATGATCCCTAATTTTTTCAAAATGAAATTGCACGTCAAATTGGAAGAATGTAGCATTTTATTGGTGAAAATTTTTTTTAAATCGGACCAGTACTTTTTGAGCCTATTCATTACAAACATACAAAAATAGGTACAAATCTTGCCTCTTTATAATATTATTAGTATTAGTAGAGGTATATTAGTATAGATATACATAGATGACGAAGTATGAAGATGTTCTTTCCTTCCAGCAGCTGTAGCCAAATGCCATTTAGCGCTTGTCTACGTATAGAATAAAAACCCAAATTATATGGAATTGACGTACAATTTGACACTTGTCAGTGTCATCTCCATACATTTTGATTTCTACTCTCTCTGTAGACGCTAAAGTGGCGTTTGGCTGAAGGCACAGAATGTATAATTAAGCATTTTTTCTTTCACGTTAAAGATGAGTTTGACTATCTATTAGATGACAGTGTTTTGTTTAATTTATTTATATATATTTATGTCATTGCCATGACTAGGTACTTACCAGATTATACCGGTATCGCATCAATGTGGATTATTACCTATTTATCGATAGTAATGTTGTTAAACATAACTGATAAATTACTTGATTTGTACAAAAATACTTAGGTAGGTAATCTTAATCTGTGATTGGTCCAATGGTTTGGATTCTAAGAATTTTGGTAAGTTCCGAATAACCCAAGTGTATTTTGATTTTCCCCAATCTGTGGGTCGAATTCGGACCCACCTACGAGTCACGTCGAGTTGTGTCCTCTAAACTGACGACACGAAAAACAAGCACAAGCAATGAAAAATCATGAGAAGGTTTAATGATTGTGTGATTTGAAGATACCTACTTATTTCTTCACATTACCTCAGTAGGACGTTTTTCTTACATCCTTATTGCTTATTTACAGGAAAAACTACAATAGTTTGTGTGTTAGTAAGACTTAGATCGGTTCGCACTGTTGACGTTTGTGCGCAT